GCAATAACAACAACAAAGTCATAGAAGCAGACCTAGTGCTTTCCCAGCAAACAGGCAGCCCTCCAAACGTGCCCAATGTTGGGCACGCTTGTTCTTGAACCTTTCTTCTCCATATTCTCTTACTGTTACCTTAAGCCATGCAGTGCTGCCCTTGGAACTGTTGCTGATGTCACTGGCATGGCCCGGAAAACCCATCCCTCTTTGGAGACCTAGCTTAAAATGTGAGGGTTTGGAATAGCAAATGCCTTTTAAAAATTACAGGCCTTAAACTGTTCAAGCCAGACAGCTAACCAGGCCCTCTGTTGAATGCATCCTAATTAGCACTGGCTTACCCCTGGGTTCCAGTATAACTTGGCTATTTCTAACTCTGTTTGCCTCACATGATTGGCACCTTCCCAGGAACAGAAACTGGGCATTCTCTGTCCCTTCTCCCTGCATCTGGGGGATGCTGAGACCATAGCTGTCAGTCAATAGCCATATGAACCATAAGTGTAATGGAAAGAGCACAGGTTCGCATTAAAGATGGTCTGGAATGAGCGGTATTTGGGGTGAGTTCCTTCCCTGTTCTGAGCTTTGTTTTCCCAAAAGTCGGTGGAAGTTCCCAGTTCAGGTGGGGTGGAAGTCTGACATTTTGAGGTCTATGAAAAGTGTATCATTTTCTGATTTTAGTCCATGTCACCTAGCAAACCTTTGTGTGTCCACCTAAACCTGTGGTAGACGCTGGTAAACAACCACGATGAAGTTAAACAGGCCTTTCTTAGGATATGAATAGTCCTGTATAGTTATATTTTTCTAATTATCCCAGTCTTTTCAATTAAATTAGACAGATCGTTAATGTATACTGATTGGTTACTAGCACCATTTATCCTGGGTGGGTTCCCTCACCCCGCCCATGAGAAAGTGACAGTTTCTCAATTTGCCCCAAAACTTGTGCCACACCACCAGCAGTTTTACCAAACTTTTTTCCTACAGCTTTTCCAATAATCCAAAAACATAAGGGAGCAGGAAGATTGATAGGGGAGATGAACAGAGGAAAGCAAGAAAAGAGACACATCGACAGAAGGAGCTATTATAGGTTTAAAGAGAAATCTGGCACGAGGGAATTGTACAGAGATCCACAAGGATGACCCCAACTAGGAATCTAAGTAATAGTGGAGAGGCTACCTTAAATGCTCTTCTCCTATAACGAGATTGATGACTACCTTAAATGCCATCCTAGAGCCTTCATCTAGGCTCTAGGAAGCAGAAGCAGACACCCACAGCTAAACACTGAGCCAAACTCCTGGAATCCAGTTTCAGAGAGGGAGGAGTGATGAGCAAAGGGGTCAAGACCAGGCTGTAGAAAACCACAGGAAACAGCTGACCTGAGCAAGTGGGAACTCATGGACCCCAGTCTGATAGCTGGGAACCAACATAGGTCCAAACCAGGTCCTGAACACGGGTGTCAGCTAGGAGGCCTGGGCAGTCTATGGGGCCTCTGGGGGTGGAACCAGGATGTATCCCTACTGCACGAACGGACTTCTGGAATCCATTTCCCATGGAGGGATACTCCCTTAGCCTGGACACCGGAGAGAGCCTAGGCCTTATCCCAAATAACTTGACAGATTTTGATGATCCCTCAAGGAAGGACTCACCTCCCTGGGGAGTGGATGGGGGATGGGATGGAGGGGTCAGTGCAGAGCATGGGGGGAAGGAAAGAGAGGGAACTGGGATTGATATGTAAAATAGGATTGTTTCTAATTTAAGTAAAATGTGTTAATAAAAATAAAAGCATTTCAGAATCATGGAAGTAATGATGTTGCAACAACCCAATAGGAATCCAGGGGGCCTCACATATCACAACCAAATACCCATTCTTTGGGGAGACCGGGGGCTAATCGAAGTCAACCACAGGACATGTGAACTCAGATGTTTTTTCCAGGCTTAAAAGTCTGTTCAATGGGACTCAGCTTATTGCTAGAAGTTGGGGTGGTTATTTTGTTTGTGCTCTAACAAATAAAGCTTGCCAAAAGATTAGGGTGTAGAGCTGGCCACTCGTTAGCCATAGAGGCCAGGCAGTGGTGGCACACACCTTTAATCCCAGCACCAGGGAGACAGAGGCAGATGGATCTCTGTGAGTTCAAGGCTACCCTGGGCTATGCCAGATTGATCCAGTTTAAAAGAGAAACAGAGCCAGGCAGTGGTGGCTCCCACCTTTCATCCCAACTTGAGTGTCACATTTCTTTAATCCCAGCACTAGGGAGGTGGAGACAGGAGTGATATGACAGGGAGAGGACTATAAGGTAGGAAGAGACAGTGCTGTCCTCTGAGGGTTCCTGGGGACAGAAGCATCCGCCCCTTTGGTCTGAGGGTTCAATAAAGGTGAGAACTAGTGTGAAAGCACGCAGGCTGATGTGATTGCTTTGCTGTTGTGTTGTGTTTTGTCAACTTGATACAAGCTGGAATTATCTGACAAGAGGGAAAAACAATTGAGATCAGTCCATTTGCGACAACAATTGAGACCACGTTCATGGGCATTTTCTTGATTAATGATTGATGTCAGAGGGCCCATTGTAAGTGGCGCTACCCCTAGGCAAGTGGTCCCATGGTCTAAAAAAAAAAAAAAAAAAAAAAAAAAAAACCTAGGCAAGCCACGAGGAGCAAGCTAGTAATGAGCATCCTCCACTGCTGTGTGTCAGGTCCTGCCCTGACTTCCTTTCCTGATGGACTGTGGTGTAGAAGTATGAACCAAATAAGCCCTTTCTTCCCTATGTTGCTTTTGGTCACGGTGCTTTTTTCACAGCTATAGAAACATCTAAGGCATAGGCACACACAGCTTTCAGACCCAGGTTAAACTCAGGAAGGAACTGTTCTAGTTAGTAGGCTCTGGTCGAAATGTTTGTAAATTAAGCACCACTGAGAAATGACCAATTGCATGTTCATTGGTAACCCACCTGCTCACTTTTCTTTAAGAATAGAATTTGATTGCCTTCCTTGTTTGGTTGGCTGGTTAGTTGGTTTGTTGTAGTAGTTATTGTTTGTTGGTAATTAGGTGTTTAGGTTCTTGCTTTGAAGGAGACATGCCTAGACCCTGGCCTTTTAGATGTGTGAAGACCTGCTGAGCTCCCTCAAAGTCTAGAGATTTTGTTCTAACTACAGCAAAGATCTTTTCAACTTGCACTGAGCTGAGCGTTTAGCCTTACCAAGGACTCCAGAACACTTCTCTTCACCATGGGGGTTTCCCTCATCATCAAAGCCTCTCTCTCCCTGATGGCCTCCAGCTCTCTGCTGTGCTTTGACCTCCAGAGCCATTAAATCCTCTCATGACAGAAAAGCAGGGGGTGCTGTCTCAGTGGAGCTACCACCGCCATTCAGTTCTGTGGCCTGTCCAGCACTGAGCCTAGCTGATTCTATTCACCGAGTATTTTGGTCCACGCTCCTCTCTTTTTTCATAGCTTCTACTCTGCTCTGAGTCCTTTCTTCTTCATAGTCACTACTTTAGTCTGAGATTACAATTTCTACAGAGATCACTGCAGTGAAATTCTCATTCACATCCTTTCTCTCCTTCTTGTTCCTCTTCTGTACCCCTCAAAATGTGGCTCTGACAAGGTCAATCCCTTCCTGTAAGGCCATTTATCAATTTCCCATTTCTCTTAGCAAAAGTATGGAATCCTCAGTGTGGTCTTCAGGACTGTCCTGGCTCCTTGGCTGACTGAATCCCTACCGTGGAGCTTGGAATAATCTTAACCTGACCTCTTTATTAACTTCTGATGGCCTTCAGACCTTGCTTCAGACCTTGCTTAGACCTTGCTTAGACCTTGCTTAGACCTTGCTTAGACATTGCTATTGACTAGGCTGATGTGTCACACTACAGTGTGTGTGTCCTTCCTAGCTGTCTGTGTAACTTGCAGCTTACCTCTGCAGTATAGTGTTGACCAGTGTCCACTGTGAAACACTGGAGAGCACATAAGAGTTGCTCTGTCTTTGGCTCCCAAATGTATTTCTAGTTGAAGAGTGGAGGCCTTTGTCCTGAAGGACTTCCGTTAAACTCATGGGAATTTGCCACAGGAACAGGAAGTCTTTGAAGGATTTAATTGGAGAAACAATGTGATCCTATGGACCTTCTGGGAACTACCTTGGCTTTGGTCTAGACAGATAACTCCTGAAATGAGGTAGAGTTCCAGAAACTGCATGCTGCTTTCTCCCCCCCCCACTGTACTTCTGTCCCTCCTCTCTAAACCTAGTGAGAGGGTTACCCGAGCCTCTCAAACATGCCTGACTGTCACCTTCTAATGGCTGTAATTCATTCTGAATAATGTTGATTGACTTCTGTAAGCACATGCTCAACACTTGGAATAATACAGTGAGAACCGGCCCAAGCTCGCGCGTCTATCTTTGCCCATATCTTTTTAACCCAGTAAGGAAGGTGCTACAGTGGTAATGTGAATGGAGTATTGGGTTTCAGAACAGATTATAACTTAAGTACTTCCTAATGGTACCGGGAAGTGCCTTAAACCAGAGGCAACTCTTGAGTTGGTAGAAGTGGTAAAGATTCACCAGGTAGAGAGAGCGCCATAAGAGGCTGGGACAGAATGCAGCAGAGAAACATGATCTACTAAAACATGGATCTTTTTCTCTGAATCGAAAGATGTGTGTTAGAGTCACATGGTAAAGTGAATAGTCACACTGAAATTGCAGTAGAAATGTTAATCGATAGCCCACCAAAAATGACTGGACCACTCTACATGTCTCTGGCTTTCAACAAAAGTATTTGTGGGAACCATTTTCCTTAAAGGTCAAATGCTTTACTACCCCAGCATGAGTAATGGTCACAAGAAACTAAGACACAGAAGAAGCATCATGAGTCCTTCTGTGAGTAGACTGGGATCGGCCCTGCAGGAAGTGAACACCAGGCTCCTGGTCAGCTGGCTAAGACCAGCCCTAGGAGGCAAAGCAGTGCGCCTGCCTGTCCATACCTGCAAATGTGCCGGCCTCTGACAGCCTGGACTTGTGTTTTGCAGTTCCATGGAAAATGGACGGCCTCCCGATCCTGCAGACTGGGCTGTGACAGACGTCGTCAATTATTTCCGAACAGCAGGATTTGAGGAGCAAGCCAGTGCTTTTCAGGAACAGGTAACTGGGGCTGGAGAGACACAGGATGGCATTTCACTCTCTCCTCACACTGAGAAGGGAGTGCAGAGGGAGGCCAGAGAGCCGTGAGGGGGCTGAGAGGCACCTAGACAGTAAGGAGGAGCAGCAAGAGTGGCAGCTGGTGGTCCCTCCTACAAGAGGAAAGCCAGCTGAGAGAGGCAGCCTCAGCTCCTCTCTGTCTCTGTCTGAGCCTTGTGACGGACATGCTCACAGGTGGAAGGGTCGGTCCTGCCTTCACTGCTGCAGACATGGGAGGAAGCAGGCAGCAGGAAAGAGACAGACAGACAGACTCTGGAGAGACCCACAGACCTCTCCACCACAGCTGGCTCCAGTTTCCCAGGGAGTACTCAGCCTCAGTGATTTCTTTGCAAGTGCTTATCAAGGTAGAGCCTAGGGTACAGAGTCAAGTGCAGGGGTGTGTGCGTGTGTGTGTGTGTGTGTGTGTACGTGTGTATGTATGTATGTATATGTGTGCACGTGTGCATGTGCGTGTGTGTGCGCACACATTTGTGTATGTATGCGTGTGTGTGTGTTTGTGTGTGTGTGTGTTTGTGTGTGTGTGTCTGGGAGAAAATTACTGGAGTTTTGGGGTTTTTTTTTTTTTTGAGCCTTTGTTTTGCATCTTTAATGTGAGATTGTCCATAACTGATTGACAGCAATGTTATTCTGACAATTTAAAGAAAATATATACAAATTGCAACCCTTTGGCACAGTGTAGATATTTTTTTAAAAAAAAAGTTATTTCTTTTCTCTTGGGCCCAGGATTGACTTTGGAGACAGGGAAGAGCTAGTAGGTGTCTCTTCCCTGGGTGATTTATGACTCCATTGAGTATGCTAAGCCACCATTACAGGTAGGACCCTCCTATAGGCAGTTGGGGGAGAACTTGTGCTCCATCCGTTAGAACACAAAGCTCCTATACCTCTTGCGACAGCAGAAGTTGCAGTTTTCTAGGCATTAATTTCACTGTGTCATAATTTAGTTGAGAATTAGAATATGAAGCGTGTGTCTGGCTATCCAGGCTACATGCCTCCACCAGAGCTTGTTAGTACAGCCCAAATTCAGATAAAGTAACCTTATAAATGCCACCTTCGCCCATCTCTTCAAGCAATGTTTCCTTCACACTTGATCCTCACGCACATGCCTTTTTTTTTTTTTTTTTTTTTTTAAGTTTGGAAAATTTGCCAGAATAGAAGCTTAAACGACTTTACACCCACTAAGAGAATTAAAATTAGAAAGAGAGTTGGTGACAGATGTGCATGTGTGGCAAACAGGGTGTTCCTACACTGCTGGCGAGAGTGGGGATACACACATCTACCAAGATACAGCAGTCTCACTCCAGGGTGTTCACCAGAGGGAAATGAAAGCACATCTGTAAGATTTGTATAAAATTGTCGTTAGCAGCTTGTTCCGTAGTTAGCAAAACTCGGAAGCCTAGGTTTACAGTTGTATACAAAGTGAGTATATAAACTGAGATGCATTCACAGTGGAACACCACCCAGTAATGAAAAACAAATTCCTGACACATGCAATGGTTCAGATGAGTCTCAGTAACATTGTACTCAATGTGAGAAGCAGCACACAACAGAGCTCACGCCACATAGGTCCGTGTTAGACTTCTAGGCTGCTGAAACACATCAGTAGTCACATTTAAAAAGTCAGTGCTTAGGTATGAACAGGTAGAGGTGGGGAGTGATTTACGAAGGGACATGAGGGAACCTTCTGGTGATGCCAACATTCTGTGTTGCTAAAGACTAGAATTTTAAACCGTGTGTGTGTGTGTGTGTGTGTGTGTGTGTGTGTGTGTGTGTGTGTGTCTTAAGGGTTATTGTATTAGTTACTTTTTTGTTGCTGTAACAAAACACAATGACCAAGACAACTTATAGAAGAAAGGGTTTATTTGGACTGTGGTTTCAAAGGGATAAGAACTCGTCATGGTGAGTAAGCATGGCAGCATGTTACAGTCATGGTGGCAGGAGCAGGAAGCTCACAGACAAAAGCAGAGAGAGCAAAAGGGAAGCAGGAAGAGACTTCAGGCTTGCAAAGCCTGCCCACAGTGTTATACTGCCTCCAACAAGGCCACATCTGCTAACCCTCCCCAAACAGCATCACGAACCGGGGATCGAGTGTTTAAATACCTGAGCCCACTCGGGACAGTCTCATTTAAACCACTACAGTTAGGACTGGAAGAATGTATATCACTATGTCCTGACCAGGCTGTGAGCAATAGTGCCTGCAAACACACTGGCTTCTGCGAGAATACTGAACAGTGACAAAAAACTGGGCTGTTTTGGGGGGAGAGATACATTTAGCAAAGTAAGTTTAGAATATTTTAATTGTAGAATTTAAGAGGTAGGATGGATATAGAGATTCACGAAACATTATTTTTCTCATGTCTGAAAATTTTTATATTAAAATTCTAATGGAAAATAACAGCTTGGGTTGGAAATTAGAAGCTAACCATCTAGACCATATTTCGTTTTGTTTTTTACTGGCATAATGTACATTCATGTCATTGGAATTGAGTAGCTCCCTTGTAAAATTAAATTTAAGTAATATTGTAAAAGGTTCACAAAACTGGGCTCAGATTAAAGGTCCCCTGGCCAGGTTCCCAGATGTCCAGCAGCCTTTCCAGGTTGCACTTTTACTCAGACTCCTGCCAGACCCCACACAAAGAGACAGCACACTCTCTGGGCCTTACAGATTCTGTGCACAGCTCTGCAAATGAGATTGGCCATCACAGAGCTTAGCTGAGTAGGGGCATTTTCTCTCAGGGGTGACTTCATTCTGGCACTGTGGACCCTGAGATGTAAACTGGGGTATTTTATTGAGAAATCCCTCATGATATCACTGTATCTTAGTCTGACCACTGTGGCACTTCATAGATGAATCCCAGGAGATGAAGCAAGTCCTGACATTCAAGCTCCTTCATTCATGGGAGAGTAGCTCAGTGGGTAAGGAGAGGCCGTTGAATTAGTCCCTGGGGGTGACTGACTTCTTTCTGCTGCTCTGGCATTTTCATTCCCACTGAAGGAATCACAGGGTGTCACTGAATAGGCCAGGAAGATACAAACATGCCATGCCATGCTATGGTATATTCATGAGCACTGAGGAAAGCCCTCTAGTACATTTGCCTGCATCTCCCACCCACATTTCACCACCAGCGTCTCCATGGCAATTACCCCCAAGTCAGCCCTCACTACTTATATCCTGATATGAGCACTGAAGGTCATCTCCAGCCTAAAGCCATGTCTTTTACCATGTTAGGTTACAGCAGCCAAAAATCCATAACAAAGCTACAGGAGCAGTGTAAAGACAGAGCAACCACTAAACCACCCTCGAAAAGAGCAGGTGATGGGAGATGTCATTCTGTAAATGTGCTTCTCTTATTGGTTAATGAATAAAGCACTGTTGGCCAATAGCAAAGCAAGATAGGCGAGGCTAGGAGACTAGGAGGAAAGAGGAAGTAGTAGGGAGGAGTCAGCATGGAGAGACTGGAGAGAGCAGAACACTGGTCCCTCCGGTAAGATGAGACCACTTGGAAGTACTTATATTAATAGACATGGGTTAATAATTAAGACAGAGATAGCCAACAAGAAACTAGTAACTGGCCAATTATATCTAATACAGCATCTCTGTGTGTTAATTGGGGCAGGCATGGCAGCAGGAAAAAACCTTACTCATAAGCAGGTCTAGCATGGGCAGCAGAGTTGCCTGTGATTTGGGAAGACCACTGTTTCAGGGCTGGTTCTACAGCCTGGATGTCTGTAACACTGTTCACTGTAACACCTACAGTGAACACCTAACACTGTGTATGTGATGATGCTAGGGGTCAAGCCATTGGGAGCAAACCAGACTTAGGTGAGAGCCTAAGGGTGGAATCCCGTGATAGCTACCATTAGTGACCTTCTAGAACTGAAGTAGTGCACTGCTCTATGCCTCCCTATGCCACAGAAGGCTTCAGCACACGGGTGGCTGGTCACCTGAAGATGACTTATCTCTTCTTGATCATTAGCCCTTAGAACTATTAAGTTTCCCTGTAGTTCAGGAATTTCCGGTCAGATTCTCTGATACACCTTGCTTGAACCAGAAACAGGTCACAAGCACTGCTGAGAAAGGAGTCTAAGCCATTACCTACACATCACGACCGAGTAGGAATGTTGTTCTCTCTGGAGCCAGCTTGTGGCTTCTGTTGTTAGACTGCTGCTCTCCAGCATCCGGGGATGCACAGGGATCCGATCACTGGTTAGTGAAGGTGCAAGAGAAGGCAGGGGTGGCTGAGTGCCAGCAGCATCTCTCCCACAGACACGGTGCCTGTTTCCCAAGTTTCTTAGCATGACGCCTGGTTCATTTTCTCCTGGTTTCTTCGTGCTCACTGGGTGATCCTGGGATGTTTACTTTGATAGGACTCATGTTCTAGACAGGTTGTTGGGTTCAGCAGTAGAACAACACCTGAGCTCCTACCGTGAGCTCAAGGTGCCATCTTGAAACAGGTCCTCCTGAAGGAGGCTTCCAGTGGCATAGAGCAAGATGAAAAAGACACTTTTGGCTTAGTGATTTTTTTTTAAGTGAGTGATTTAAAAAATAACTTATGATTACCCACCCGTGGACATGGGTTGCACGGTTTTTAAGATCAAAGTAGGTCAAGGATTTTAGTTTCTTAAGAGCTTCTGAGAGGCCACTTTGACAAATCTCAGCAGGAATAGCACCCCTCAGAACATGGTGATGGGATTGGCTTTGTCAAACTCGGAAGGCTGAATAAGCCACACTTTCTGGTTCCGGCAGCGGCGTTGTCTGTGGCGCTTCACCACGCAAACTGGAACTAATCACAGGTCACAAAGAGAGTCCTCCCAAAGCTGTTTGGTTACTTCGCTTCTCAGCTCTTTCTGACTCACATGTACTCATAGTATGTTAGGAGAAGATGTAAGACAATTGGCGTTCAGTCACTGTCACGTGGCTCCCATTCCTATGAGTGAGTAAGTGA